GAGAGAGAGGAGGAAGGGGGGCCGGCCCCCTCTCCTTGTCCTATTCGGACCAAGGGGGGGAGGGGCGCGCGGCCCATCTATGGCCACCTCTCCTCTCTTCCACTAAGGCCCACTAAGGCCCATATACCTCCCGGGGGGTTCCGGTAACCTCCCGGTACTCCGGTAAAATCCCGATTTCACCCGGAACACTTCCGATATCCAAACATAGGCTTCCAATATATCAATCTTTATGTCTCGACCATTTCGAGACTCCTCTTCATGTCCGTGATCACATCAGGGACTCCGAACAAACTTCGGTACATCAAAATGTATAAACTCATAATATAACTGTCATCGTAACCTTAAGCGTGCGGACCCTACGGGTTCGAGAACAATGTAGACATGACCGAGACACGTCTCCGGTCAATAACCAATAGCGGAACCTGGATGCTCATATTGGCTCCTACATATTCTACGAAGATCTTTTATCGGTCAGACCGCATAACAACATACGTTGTTCCCTTTGTCACCGGTATGTTACCTGCCCGAGATTCGATCGTCGGTATCCCATACCTAGTTCAATCTTGTTACCGGCAAGTCCCTTTACTCGTTCCGTAATACATCATCCCGCAACTAACTCATTAGTTGCAATGCTTGCAAGGCTTAAGTGATGTGCATTACCGAGAGGGCCCAGAGATACCTCTCCGACAATCGGAGTGACAAATCCTAATCTCGAAATACGCCAACCCAACATGTACCTTTGGAGACACCTGTAGAGCTCCTTTATAATCACCCAGTTACGTTGTGACGTTTGGTAGCACACAAAGTGTTCCTCCGGCAAACGGGAGTTGCATAATCTCATAGTCATAGGAACATGTATAAGTCATGAAGAAAGCAATAGCAACATACTAAACGATCGGGTGCTAAGCTAATGGAATGGGTCATGTCAATCAGATCATTCAACTAATGACGTGATCCCGTTAATCAAATGACAACTCTTTGTCCATGGTTAGGAAACATAACCATCTTTGATTAACGAGCTAGTCAAGTAGAGGCATACTAGTGACACCCTGTTTGTCTATGTATTCACACATGTATTATGTTTCCGGTTAATACAATTCTAGCATGAATAATAAACTTTTATCATGATATAAGGAAATAAATAATAACTTTATTATTGCCTCTAGGGCATATTTCCTTCAATATTTCTTTCAAATCTTTCAGCTACCCCATGCACCGTCTATAGTATGCATCAGAGCTTCAAAAATCTTATATGTCTCTCAGATGAAACACAGAACTAATGTGAGATCTCATCTGACAAAAAAACGGCTGTCTTGAGAAAAAAGCAAGAAACCTAACATCCCAGTTTCAAGTTGATCCAGAAGTCAATCAGGAAACGCGCTGACCTAAGTAAGTAGGATGCAATAAGAACCATGGTCCCTACTCCCTAGTACAGCAAGGAGAGGAACACCACATGCAAAAGCCATTGCGACGGCGGCGAGCAACAACGTCAAAGTGACCCACAACATTTTCATTTGATTCGCAGTGTGATGTGGACACATCAACACCTTCCAGATTTCTTTTTCGCATTTTTCACTTGCTAAATAACCTGCTCGATAGGATGCGGTTATTTTAAATAGTTAGAGTAACATCATTCATACGATTAAAAAGTACATAGACACATATATTGAGTTTAGGCATAAATTTAGTTAAATGAGACACAAGAGCAAACGCATACGAACTTGTCCGGTAACCATTGGATACCGACAGATTCAGCTTGAAAAAAAGGTAAGAAACCCAACAGTGTGTGCCTGATTCGTCTTGCACAGAACCTGCATTTTTTCGTGGGCACAAAGAACAACATCAGTAAACAAAACAAATTCCAAAGTTGGAGGAAGGATTGGGGGAAGAGGAGATGTAGGAAGGAGGAAGAATTGGAGCGAATTGGAGACATGAGAATAACATATCGTTGCTTGAGATTGGTTTTCGGGAGTGAGGAGAGTGGGGAACGAGCAACAACACAGTTGGGATGATATAGGCATGTATAAGTTGAATGAAAATTATGAATCACCAATTGTAACTGACCTAAAATAACCAGCAGTCCGCGCATTGACCGGTGGTGATGGTTGATTAAACTCCCAATCAATCATCGTCAGTTGACAATAGAACTTCAAAGGACGAATGCATGTTTTCTGCCACAGACCATCCTCCCACGCTGTGCAACCGAACGGATCGAGCCAACCCAGTGCCCCATCGCCCGGCGAGGCGCGTCATGAACCAGCGTGGTCGCCATGGATCGTTGCTCTAGCCCGACATCGGTCGTCACCTAGGCCGATCGCATCTGGAGAGAGCCGCTGGGCAAAGGGATGGGAGGCACCCGACTCTACCGATTGAGATAATGTATTTACTTTTTTTTTGGAAAAAGGCACTTATGCTGCTATGGGCCCGAAAGAGGGCAACGACCCATTAGGCCGAAGTTTACCACATAGGCCAAAAAATGCGACCAAAGCAGCGGCCCATAACACTTGGCAGACGTTAACAACGAACTGAGACTGAATAGGGGTGATCCAGAGCATATTTAACGATCATAAATGCATTGAACTAAGGATCCAATGGGTGAAAACGCTAATGGCTTGAGAGAGCAGAAAAAGTGCTCAGTTATAATGTATCTAAATGGGTTTCTCTACCTTTTTATCGGTTTTCCTTTAGTTTTAGTTTTACCTTTTTCATATTTTTCTTTTATTGTAATTTGTTTTTTCTTCTTCTAAATTCTTGTTGACTTTTTTCAAATGCACGTTGAACATTTTTTCGAATACGCATTGAATAATTTTGATACACATCAAAAAAAATAGATACGTGTTGAACATTTGCCAAATGCATGTTGACCATTTTTTCAATATATAGTGGATATTTTATAAAATACCCGTTGAAAATTTTAAAATGCTGATTAATTTTTCTAATACACTGTGCATATTTTGTAAGAAATGTCATTAATTTTTTTGTAAAACATGCAAAAAATTTCTTAATTGTTCATGAACCTTTTTTATAAAACGGCACAAACATTTATTATGTGTTATGCATTTCAAAAAATTGCATGAACATATTTTTACTTTTTATGATTTTTTTAGAAAAAGTGTTATCATCGTATTTTAAATGCTTGAGCATTTTAAAAACGGCATGAACAATTTTTTAATTCTATGAATAGTTTTTTCGCAATTTATATTTTCATTGATATTTATGGAAATTTGACGAACATATTTTCAAAATGTGTGAACGTTTTTAATGGCATGAAGAATTTTTTTAATGGTGTGGATAAATTTTTACATTTAATAAGCATTGTTTCCACACATATCGAATGTTTAATTTTTATGTATAATCATTTTTATTGAATATGTAGATAGAGAGAGTAATTTATAACATTAAAAAAGGGCCTGGAGCGACTCCATGCACATGCTGCCGTATTTGCTCCATGGGTCTTGCCCTACGTGGCTCTATGCTGCTGCTGCTGCATCATCTAAATTGATTGGCATTGGGTTAGTCGATTTGGTAATCAATGACATATTAGAAATTGGCTGACCAAATCATAAAACTAGGCAACTTCCCCTTCTTCTCACTGCATCACTCTACCGTGAGTGGCTTCCCCTGCCAGTGTCAACCACTAGAGCCCCGTTTGATAGCAAAATATTTTCTATGTATTTTGAGAATACTACAGTTTCTTGGAATACCATGGTTTTAATTATTGTGAGCTGTTTGGCAGCAACAAAAAACTGTAGTATTCATACTACAGTTTTTTCAAAACCATGGTATTTTCTCTGCAGATAAAACAGAGAACGCAAAAAGAATGAGTGTTATCTTCGACTCACTCCAAACTCGTCACCACCACCTGTCGTCTTGGTCGGCGGTCATGGACAAATAAAAAAACAACAAAGGGGAGGAAAATGGTTAGTACACTGTCCTTCATTGCATCCTCCTGCTTGCTGCTTCCGATTTTCCCTACTGAAGTCATCTCATCCCAATTTGTGTTCCCTACATTATCAGACCGTCATCTAGCGAAGGTGTGTGGGGGATTTGGTTTTGTTTTTGCTATGTATGTTGGACTTGCCAGGTCGAGATGGACTGGTCATGTCCTTGTTGCACATAATGACATGTGTGGTAGTCGACAACCAACTCCCTTTTATCAGTGTAACATCGAGCTTGTATATGGTGTGTTCATATTGGCTGTTCAGCTAGTGCATGGTCGTACTAGTTTGTGCATGGCCGTTCATCAACTTGCAACTTCTAGCAAGCTAGAAATGAGCGTGTTTGTAACTGCAACGCATACAGGCTTTTGCCAAACATGTCCACGGTATTCTCAATACTTCAAAATTTGTTGCAATGTCAAAATTGTGGTATTTTATACCTACTTGTTAAATTACTATAGTTTTCCAATACTTTAGTTTTTCAATACTTCGCTATCATACACAACCTAGGTGGCGAATTTGCCTTTTAAATTTCCGTATGCCGAGACCCTCTACACATATCATTGTGTTAAATAGTGGATTATGCCAAATAGCAGCGGTCCTTTAAATCAACTATAACGAGGGTATAACCGGCTATTTCATAACTTTTTCTGACAATTGTACAGAAACCTATAGGCTATCATTTAGCGGCACTCTGCTCAAAGCCTCAAACTGCTATAGCGTGGGCTATAGCCGGCTATTTAAAAAATTGATAAATACTAGCATTTTCGAACTTTTAGTGCCCCAAAAATTGAAATTATCTATACAAAGCTACATCAATTGTTCGGAGAACATATATTTTCACACTGAGAATGTACGTGGCAGCTACACCTTCTTTGCTGCGGATAGACATAAACAAATACAGTACTGTGCACGAAACATACAGGGCAAATATGGAACATCTAAAACACGAAAAACAACGTGCAGAGAGGTCGAACAGCGCATGCATGCATGCACGAACGGTCGCTGGCCTGAGAATCACATGACGGTGCACGCACTGGGCGGGTACTCCTCGTAGATGAACCTCCCCTCCTGCACGATCCGGCAGCCCTTGCACCCTCTGCACGACGACGCCGGCCCGCCGCAGCCCATCGGCGGGGGCTGCATCATCTGCAGCGGCGTCGGCATCGCCGGCGGCCACGCCCCGTACGCGCCGCCGCCTCCGCCGCCACACGAGCCGCACCCTCCTCCGCAGTACGCCGAGCCTCCGCACGGCTGCCTCTTCGGGGTCGCCGGCGCCGCCGAGGGCGGGTGCTGAGGAATCGGGTGCTGAGGGTGGTGGGGGGCGGGGTACGCCGGCATCTGCGGCGGCTCGCACGGCCACTGCGGCTGCTGGGGCTGCGGGTACTGGTGCTCGCCTCCCCAGTGGCTCGGGTCGCTGCACGGCCACGGGTAGCAGAGGTTACAGATCTGCGTGAACTGCAGGTTCACAGTCGTCGACGGCGCGGCCGGTTTGGTCTCCTCCTTGGATTTGGGCTTCTCCTCCGGCTTCTTATCATCTGGCTTCTTCTCGTCGGGTTTCTTCTTTTCCTCCGGCTTCTTCTCGTCGGGCTTCTTCTTCTCATCCGGCTTCTTCTCGTCCGGTTTCTTGCAGCAACACTTGCAGCCATCGGCGGCCGGCTTCTTCTCCTCGGGCTTCTTCTCCTCTGGCTTCTTCTCCTCCGGCTTCTTGGCATCGGGCTTCTTCTCTTCAACGATCTTGATATCCTTGATCGCCTTGCAGGCCTTGCATCGCGGCTTCTTGGACAGCTTCGCCGTGTCGAATGGGCCAGAGATAGTCACCGTGTTCTTCTTCGTGTCGAAAATGATGGTCCTGATCTTCTCCTTCTCTGATCCATCAAAGTTAATTGCATCGAAGTTAATAAGCAAAACATAAAAGGATTCCACTTCTTATTACAGGGTTAATTTGACAAAATTAAATCGAGTGCTTGACTATTGTATTGTACTACGTACCTTGGAGTTTGCCTAGCACTTTCTGAATCTTCTTGTAGCATTTCTCGCATTCGAGGTTGGCTTCAATGATCAACGTGGATACCTGGTGGATACAAGCATGGCAGGAGAATCAACACAAAGAGCTCACAACACCATCACTACAACTTCGAAATTAACCATGCATGCAAAATTGCACGCAAGCATGCATGAAGCAGGGCACTCACCTTCTCTGCCATGGCTGGGGCTGAGCGAACTCCAAGTCTCCAACGAACGTTTAATCGCAGGGTTGCCGCAAAAGGAAGAGAGAATATATATAGGGGACTCGTCCTATAATCCAGTGTTGCTGCAGCACGCTTGTGGTCACGATGAGATGGCGTGGCAGTGGTTGCGTTCCACCAACGCCATGACCCGTCACACGCTAGTCCAGGCCAAAAACTACAATTTTTTAGCCAGGCATAATCGAATAGGAACGCCACATTTGCGCACCCACCGTATATTGCACCCCAGGAAAAGAACAAAAATATAATTGCATGCACAGCGCCGGCATAGCCGGTGAAGGGGGAATATGGCATCACATGAGCGTGATGAAGACCTAATCCGTAGTTTAAGCATAAGATTCGGGGCAACAACATTTCCCCGCCATGATCACCACGGAGCATGAGCTAGCCCGAACATGGGACAAATAAGTCGCCGTAGTTGGTCCGGACACTGCTGGCACTACGCCTGGGCATGTTGCCAAAACGCCACGAGGCGAACCTTCTCACGGCTTGTTTCCCGTACCGGGGTGCATAGAAAACGCGCATGTCGGCCGCACCGAGCCGTCCTCACGTACGTACATGGAACTCGATGACGATTTGGGGGTATATCTTTCGGAGTTTCGGTGATGGGTGAGCTGCAACAACCCATCGATCGGCCAACCTCATGTCCAAGTGAGAATGATCACGTAGATGGCTAGCTAGGCTGCGTACACATGGCATGGATGCCAACAATGGTCAACGACGACAGCTACATGAAATGATCGGCTGGCTAGCATGTACGATTGGATCGTCGCCGACCACCGGTATGGACGGGTGGGCGGCAAGGTGCTGCAAACCGGGGGAGAGCATGTCGTGGAGCATCTTTCTTGTGACCTGGGTTGTTTGCTATACTGATTAACGCGCGTTTAAGCGCTGTTGCGGTGGGGCCGGATTTGGCTACGGCGAGGTGACGGAGTGGACGGAGGCGCCGCCGAGGTGGCGGAGGGGCAAAAGGGTGTTTCAGCCTGGAAAAAAATCACAACTTTTTTCTTGCGACAAGACTTATATTGGAGTTGTAAGGACCTGGTCTCACGCTTCCAACCTGTAGACCAACTCTATCGGACGACATCTGGCAGTACGAATCATAAAGCATCCGGGCAGCTTCTTCTCCCCCGCTGTGAAAACGCATCTGCCATTCCTTTGGCAAGTTCGCCATGCGCCCATGCTCGCCGCTCGTGCTTTGCCCCCGTTGGTGCACATGATGTCTGCCGCTGTTGCTCTGTCCTCGCCGGTGCAGCCACACTCCTCAGCGCCGGCTTGATTTCCCTTCTACAGAAAATACTGCAACACCGCTTTTGCTGCAAAGGGAGGGGCGCATTGGATAGTCAATTGTCAGGTCCATCCAATGCATGGTCAGCAAGGCGGTGAATATTCCTCGGTTATCCATCAAAGGACGCGCAGAACTTGGTACCAAAACAACCCCTATGAGAGACTGTAAAGGGAGGCACATACAAGATTATGATTCTTATTTCAACCATAAATTGCAACTTGTGCATCACTTGTCAGGTTATAACATTGATTATACTTGTCTTGCGTACAATGGGTGTAAACATTCAAATTTGTGCATCCATGATATTCGGATTATCTAAAGTATTTGCTTCTACAAAAGTTATGTTTAATCCCTGCCAACATCTCCCATTCGGTTAAATCCTGGGTACCATTTAAAACCAAGTTTAATGAACAAGGTTATCTACATGTATCAAGATTTTGTGCCAAGCACCACAGGTTATTCATGTGATGAATAGAATTGTATCGAGAGAGACAATGGAACAAATGATTCAAACAACACTTTATTGATGATGAATGAGCACTTATATACAATGGGAACAGTTGCCTCGGAGGGACACGATGGTCCGTAGAGATGCCATTCCAGGAACCGCTGTGACGGTTGCTGGAAGTGTGCAACCGCACATCTAGGAAGGAGCGGGGATTATTCCTTAATAACCACAAGAGTTATTTAGTTTTAACAATTCATGCACAGGTTGAGCACATAAGAAGTAAGACAACCAGAAAAGAAGATAAAGACATATAGCAACAAAAGTAGAGAGCTATAATACTATGGGTAAAAAATACCACAAACTAATACAAGACAAGTTCATAAATTTGCCAATAATTATTTAAGGGCTGCACCAACTCCTGGACCCCCAAAGCTGCAATTGGCGTGTTTTTTGTCAAGCCAGTACTCCCTCCAGTCCTTTTTAGTTTGCATATAAGTTTTGTTCGAAGTCAAAGTATCTCTATTTTGACCGAACTTATAGAAAAAAGTATCAACATTTACAATAGCAAAACATTATTGTCAGATTCATTATGAAATGTAGTTTTGTAGTATATATATTTGGTCTAGTAGATGTTGATATCTTTTAATATAAATTTGGTCAAACTCAAACTTTGTAGAGTTTGATGTCAAACTTTGTAGAGTTTGACTTGACACAAATCTAATACGCGGAGTAAAAAGAACCGGAGGGAGTACAAAGAACAGTAGAAGTAAAAATGACATCCAGATCCGTAGATCACAACTAACGACAACAAAAGGCACTAGAGCGAGCCGAAGATGCATCGCCGTCATCGCCCCTCCATCACGGGAGCCGGGCAACCTTGTTGTAACAGACAATTGGGAAGTCGCCGTGTTAAGGCCCAATATGAGAGGCCCAATATGACGTAGCAATATGACATGCACGCCAGGACAACAACCATCGCCGATGAAAAAAACATAGATCAGAAGGATCCAACCTGAAGACAGACGAACACATACGATGATACGAACGAAATCCAACAAAGACAAACGCCGACCAAATCCCGACACTAGATGAACAAACTGGGGCTAGACAGGGAGAACCTTAGTCCAACTTCAAAGAGTCATTGCCATCTCTTCTTCCTGCACTGGACACTAGACGAACACAGAAAAGCACCTAAAAACGAAGTAGGAGCCTTCCCACCAGCAAGGGCCGAGATACACAACACATTCATGGTGTAAGGCCACAGAAGGCGAAGCCAATCTGCAGCGGCGCCAACAGGTGGCACAGATTCCTAAATCGCCCTTGCGCAAGCGCACGAGGTGAAGGGCCAGGAGACGTACATGTTTTAGCCCCTAGCTTTCCACTATAATATCCAGCGAAAGACACTTCTTTTAAGTGATACTCCCCCCGTCTCAAAATATAAGAACATTTTTAACACTAGCATAGTGTCAAAAAAGTTCTTATATTCTGGGACAGAGGGAGTAGAAAAGAAAAGCAATGGACAACTACTGTTAGAACAAAGAAATAAACTATGGTTTAAAATGCGTCTGTTTGACATGGGGTCATGGGTTGCTATGGAGGGTTCAAAACAGGTCAAATTTTGAGTCTTTGTGCAGGATATTTTTTCAGGAAATAATGAATGTAGTAGGAGCAAAGGATAAGGATTGGTGGTTTCTTCTCGCTCCCAAGTCCATACCAGGGATGTATGGTTTCTACCAGAACTTTATCATAGTCTAGTAGCCGATAGCCCGATACTCACCAAATAGTAATGAGGATACAAGCAGCTCGACCAAACAAATGACTTTTATGCCTTACCATTTTCATAACAATATTTAGTAATGGTTGTGTGCAAAAGAGTTCACCATAAACAACAATAAAATACGTTCACAAGTTTGCCAATTAATTATTTAAGGGCTGCAGTAGCTCATGGACCCCCAAAAGCTGCACTTGGCACCTGAACATTCCATGAGAAGCACCATAGAGCAACGATACTTCCAGTACAACAGAGTTTACCATAAACCATAAGACAAGACGAGTTCATAATTTTGCCAATTAGTTATTTATTTAAGGGCTGCACTACCTCCTGGACCCCCGAAGCGGCACTTGGGACCTGACCAAAGGTAGATAGATACACATGTGTCAATCTAACGAATCATTTCGGAAAGTGTATGAAAGACACTTTTTTAGGTGATACAGTAGTAAGGAAAGCAATGAACAGCTACTGCTAGAACGGAGAAATAAATTCAGTTTAGTGGTCTACTTGTTGCCAGTATTTTCACAATGACAAAACCTAAAAAATAACACAACTATTTAATACATTTTTTGAAAATTTGGTCTGCTAAGCTTGTCAATCTCATGGCAATTAGAGCAAATTTAAAATGCCTCTGTTTTACACGGGTTGCTGCGGAGGGTTTAAAACAGGTCAAATTTTGAGTCTATGTGCAGGTTTTCTCATGAAGTAATGAAGGTAGTAGGAGCAAAGGATAAGGATTCGTAGCTAACTAATTGCATCTTCTCTCTGCCAAACCCATATGAGCAATGTATGGTTTCTCATGATCACAGCAGAACTTGATATTGTCACCATAGTCTTGTTGGCGATGCTCGGCCAAATAGTATTGGGGATCTAAGTAGCTCGACCACACAAATAACTTCTATGCCCTACACTTCTCATGAAAGAATTTAGTGATGGTTGTGTGCATAATGCAAGCTAAAGAAGACTGACTAAACATAACAGGTTGACGATGGCAAATGAACAGTCTTTTATACCCTAAAAAACCGAAATTGTCTGCCAAGTTCACTACACATAAGAGCATAAGACATACATGCAAATATAGAAAATAATAAAAACTACTCCCTCCGTCCCATAATGTAAGACATTTTTTAACACTACAATAATGTCAAAAAGCGTCTTACATTATGAGACGGAGGGAGTAGATGAGTTCATATAATAATGAAGTAATGCACAGTAGCGCTGGAAGAGCTTGGACTATTTTTCTTACTACGTGGAGGAAACAGCCGAGCAATCTCCGCCTTAGTCATATCTGCAAATGGGCCCAGTTGCGACACTTGCGACGATCCAGAATTGTTATTTTTGTACACAGACATTGCACGAGCCCTAAATGACCTGAACCGGCGGGTCATTTCTTTATGGTCACGAGATACCCCCCGATACTTGCACCAGCATTTATACAAGGCCCACAGGGATTCCTTGGACTTAATGGAATTCTCATCAACCAGGGGAAAGGTTTTTTCTGGATCGATGTCTGCCGCAAAGCCGCTGAGTGCGAGATTTTCTTCTGACTCGGAACCGTCTGCCATTCAGTAGCACAGAGTTAAAAATCGATTGTAAAATAACATCATTTGTAATAATGCTCTCAACGGAATTGATTTGATTGAAGGCAGAGACATTAAGATATCATGAATCATCATAAACCAGTTTTTTAACCACTTAGTTTTACTAAGAAAAATATGCTTGCTAGATGTCCGAATGAATAGTGCCCAATCTCTGCCTGCTTATTCAAATAGATCTACTGACAAGAAGAAATAATATGGGAATTTAGGGTATTATTAAATTCAGATCCAAGTAAGGCGAATTCCTTTTCATATCCAAAGCCCAAGAATCCTTAGTATTCAGATACAAATTCTGAAAGAGTTATCATCCAATTAAGGAGAATTCCTTTGGAATTCGGGATTCAGATCCAATTTCGAAAAGAGCTATCAAAATAACATGGGAATTTTAGGTATGAAATTCAGATCCAAGTAAGAAGAAATACTTTGGGAATTTTGGCATTCAGGACTTAGATCCAAATTACGAAAGAGCTGTCTCGGATTACCTGCAGCTGCAGACATGCGACGGATGGAATCGCCAGTCAGATAGAGCCGGGGGAGACACGGAGAGATGCCACCAGCAGTATCTCCAATGGGGCGTGATGCTAGGGCTGCCCGAACGAGCTTGTGCACGATGGAAGCCATAGCCTATGTCGGGGCGTGGTTCTGGAATTAGGGTTTTTGTGTGTTGCCGGTCCCCGATTTATATAGATCGAGGGCTCTCTTGAAGCCGTTGGACCGCTCTCGCCTTCGATCTCCTCCGCACACAATCATACACCGAGCGTCAGCCCAGGGCATGTGTGGGCTGTGCGGCCGAAACTGAGAGGCTCCTGGTAGGATGTATATAAAGCCCATCGGGCCAACCCAGCGAATCCAGCAACCCAAGAGAGGGGAATGAAAACCTCAAAAAGGAAAACAAAAAAAAAAGCAGGGAAGGAAAACCTCAAAAAGAAAAAAAAAGCGGGGAATGAAAACCTCAAAAGAAAAAAGAAAAATAGAGAGAAAAGAAGTCCCCTCGTCAAAAACAAAAGAAAGGGTTGATAGACAAAAACAAGGGAAGAAGTAACGTAAAAAAAGAGAAGTGAAGAAGGAAAGGTGCTAGGCTACCCACATACGCAGGAAACATGAGCAACGCCCCCGAAAAAAAAACATGAGCAACTCCAACGGTTCCCCTGTCTGTGAAGTAACCGCCGTTTACAAGAAATTGGAGCAAAAAAACATCTTCAACAGTTCTCGTAAACTGATTTATCTTTAGAGGATCCTGTAAAAGAGGTCATTTCTCCCCGCTGATTTATGGGGAGATGACCTTCTCATATCTTTTTGAAGGGATCATAACCGCTATGAAACTTCCACGTGCAACCTGTCAAACGCCCCCGCCCCACCGGAAACTCGCGGTGCGTCGGAGTGCTTCCGCTGCCACGCCAGGACGCCATCGTGTTGTCGCGCCACCATGCTGGATGGATGCCACCTCGCCACCGCGCCACTACGCTAGGAGGACGTCGCGCCGCCGCCTCTCGTGCCGCCACACGCGGCCCCTCGCTGGCGGCACCAATCACCTGCGCCGCCGCCCGTTGATACGTCTCCAACGTATCTATAATTTTTTATTGTTTCATGCTATTATATTACCAATATAAGATGATTTATATGCAATTATATATCATTTTTTGGGACTAACCTAGTGCCCGTTGGCACTTGTTATTTTTTGTTGTACCAAACGAAGTCCAAACATGATGAAATTTTACGATGGTTAAACTTGACGATGTAACACCCCAAAAATTTAACCATGATTTGTTAGTTAAAATTTTGCCTTGGTAAATAAAATTTTCATTTTTCTGGATTTTCTTTGATTTCAGAACCACTCTTTTCTTTGATATTGTGGAGTTTTCACCTCAAGTGAAAACTTTTCAAAAACATTGTTGGACTTGCATATCTTCCCAAGATCATTTCTTTTTATCAGTGGAATTTTATTTCTACAAATTATTTCTTTCTGAGATTTATTCCTTTAAAATGATTTTTCATTAGTTTTAGAGCTCTATTTGCACTACAACCATTTGATAAATGCATTTAAAATTTTCACCAGAAATTGGGGATGTCATGTGATGTTCCTAAATCACTTTTATGCAAAAATATCTTTTAGTCATTGGAGATTTTGAGCCCTACCTCAAGTTTTCAAATCTGGTCCAGTTTGTAAGATTGCACTACAACCTATTTAAATATTTCTTTAAAGTTTCCATCAAAATTATGGGATGTTAGTAGGAGTATATTATTCAACTTTATGCAAAAACCCATTGGTGTTCTTTGAAAAAATTGAGCAAATCATCCTCATCTTCATTCTGGTCCAGCTTGGTGAATTGCACTGCAACCATATTTTTTCTTGTTCTTTTTGCCATGGGATTTGTCCTGCTTGAAGTACACCCTTCCAAACCCCTAAGTCCAGGAGTTTAGACCCATTGGAGTATTTTTGGTGCATGTATTAACGCCTTTTATTTTTTGTCCGGAACTGAAGATTTGCAAAACTTGCAGTAGCAAGTTTCTGGTTTTGCCCAAATGGCCTTGCCATCATCACCTACACCTAAAGAGACCCCAACCTAGAGATTTTGGCCACCCCAAAACATGCCTAGAAGCCCATGGCATTCTGTCAAACACTTTGTGTGCATAGCCAGATTTGACATGATTTTTAGTTTGCATTGTGAACTTGATCCTCTGACCCAACAAACTTGTCCACTAAGCTCCTAGCCACCCCTAACCCAGACCTGTTAACTACCAGCCTCGCTCAAGCCCTCTAGCACACGATGGCATTACGTCGAGCACTTGGTGTGCGTGCTCTGGGCACGGCCAGAGCGCGGGTTTTGCATGTGCATGCGCCCGAGTCGCCGCGTCTGGCCCTTGGCCTTTGCTCGCCTGCAGAGCGACGCCCGCCCTCATCCACTCATCAGAGTCATCCGGGTCACTCCTGGAGCCCCGCAGCGCCGCCGTCAGGTCGGCCATGGCAGCTAGCGGACGGCCGCAGTAGGCTACTGCCATGGACGGCGCCGCCCGAGCCACAGCCGCGCGCCAGCTGCCCCTGGAACAGCCCGAGCTTATCCTCAAGCACGTCCGCTAGCGCCCGTCGCCGCCACGCGCCCCCTGACTACAGAACGGCGGTTCGCCGACGATCTTATTACCGGCCGCCGCGAAACCGACCTCGGCCGCCTATAAAAGGGGCCCCAAGCTCCTCCAAACCCACAGGCCACCTCAGGCCATTCCCCTAGTACTACCACGACCAGCAATCGATGGCGGGAGGCCTTCTTCCTCGTCTCCGGCCAGTTCGGCCGCCGCCACACTCCGGTGCTGTGCGTCGCGAACAGAGCCTCTCCAGTCCATCCAGTGTCACCGTTCTCCTCCCCTCGACCGTGCGGAGCTGCCCAGCCTCTCAGCTTCGACCGGGCAACACCGTAGCCCAAACCCCCAAATCCTCCCGAAGCCACCTCCGCCGCGGAGCTCGCCGCCGGCGACTCCCTTCGTCCCCGCCAGCCTGTCGACCACCGGGAGGACCGCCCTGGACTGACGGATCCATCCCTGCCCTCGGAACCCCGTGGGGACCCGCGGTTCGTCGACGGCGATCGCCGGAGCCCCGCCTCTGCTCGGCCAGAGGAGAAAGAAGACCGCGGGCGACTGGTCAAACCTGACCAGTGGGCCACATGGACCCACTGTCAGTGACCCCGAGCCGGCCCGCGCTGTTTTAAGTGGAGGCGTAAACCCAAAAGTATGTCTCCTCCATCTCGAAAACGTATTCTTAATCGAACCGTTTTCTTTTTCTGTTTTATTTAAAAACAGAGTTTTGACTGAGCTTTGACTGGCTATACCTTTTAAAATATAAGTCCAATTGATTTGATTCTTTTTCTGTTGTTTCTCAAATTTGGTCTAGTTTATTTTCATATTTATTTGAAAAATTTCCAAACAACTTTTTTTTACTATTTTGAAACTATGTGTTAATTCAAATTTTCTTAAATAGGAGTTTTGAAGAAGAAGGCAACTTTCAAAAAAAGTGCACCCCCACTTGCATACTCTTGAAGGCAATCATTCTGAACCCTGGCATAATATTTTTTGTGAGTTGTTTGATACGGTTACAACCCCACCTTGACATGGAGCATTCGTTATTTTATGTGATGATATGTGAAGGAAATATGCCCTAGAGGCAATAATAAAGTTATTATTTATTTCCTTATATCATGATAAATGTTTATTATTCATGCTAGAATTGTATTAACCGGAAACATAATACTTGTGTGAATACATAGACAAACAGAGTGTTACTAGTATGCCTCTACTTGACTAGCTCGTTAATCGAAGATGGTTATGTTTCCTAATCATAGACATGAGTTGTCATTTGATTAACGGGATCACATCATTAGGAGAATGATGTGATTGACATGACCCATTCCATTAGCTTAGTACCCGATCGTTTAGTATGTTGCTATTGCTTTCTTCATGACTTATACATGTTCCTATGACTATGAGATTATGCAACTCCCGTTTACCGGAGGAACACTTTGTGTGCTACCAAACGTCACAAGGTAACTGGGTGATTATAAAGGTGCTCTACAGGTGTCTCCAAAGGTACATGTTGGGTTGGCGTATTTCGAGATTAGGATTTGTCACTCCGATTGTCGGAGAGGTATCTCTGGGCCCTCTCGGTAATGCACATCACTTAAGCCTTGCAAGCATTGCAACTAATAAGTTAGTTGTGGGATGATGTATTACGGAACGAGTAAAGAGACTTGCCAGTAACGAGATTGAACTAGGTATTGAGATACCAACGATCGAATCTCGGGCAAGTAACATACCGATGACAAAGGGAACAACGTATGTTGTTATGCGGTCTGACTGATAAAGATCTTTGTAGAATATGTGGGAGCCAATATGAGCATCCAGGTTCCGCTATTGGTTATTGACCGGAGACATGTCTCGGTCATGTCTACATTGTTCTCGAACCCGTAGGGTCCGCACGCTTAACGTTACGATGACAGTTTCATTATGAGTTTATATGTTTTGATGCACCGAAGGTTGTTCGGAGTCCCGGATGTGATCACGAACATGACGAGGAGTCTCGAAATGGTAGATACATAAAGATTGATATATTGGGCGATTATATTCGGACACCGGAAGTGTTCCGGGTGATTTCGGAGAAAACCGGAGTGCCGGAGGGTTACCGGAACCCCCCCGGGAGAAGTAATGGGCCTTATGGGCCTTAGTGGAGAGAGAGAGGGGCAGCCAGGGTGGGCCACGCGCCCCTCCCCCTCTGGTCCGAATTGGACTAGGAGAGGGGGGGCGGCGCCCCCTTTCCTTCTCCCTCTTCCCCTTCCTTTCCCCCTCCTAGTAGGAGTAGGAAAGAGGGGAGTCCTACTCCTACTAGGAGGAGGACTCCTCCTCCTGGCGCGCCCTGCAAGGGCCGGCTGGCCTCCCCCCTTGCTCCTTTATATACAGGGTGAGGGGGCACCCCAAGACACACAAGTTGATCTTCGTGATCGTTCCTTAGCCGTGTGCGGTGCCCCCTTCCACCATATCCCACCTCGGTCATATCGTAGCGGTGCTTAGGCGAAGCCCTGTGATGGTAGAACACAAAAATCATCACCAGGCCGTCGTGCTGATGGAACTCTTCCCCG